AGGAGGAGGAGAGAGGAAGGAGGAGGAGGAGAGGAAGAAGAAGAAGAAGAAGAAAAGAAGAAGAAGAAGAAGAAAGAAGAAGAAGAAGAAGAAGAAGAAGAAGAAGAAGTAGAAGTAGTAGTAGTAGGAGGAGAGTAGTGGAGGAGGCAGAGAAGAACAAGAAGAACAAGAAGAATAGGAGGAGGAGAAAAGAAGAACAACAAGAAGAAAACAATAAGAACAAGGAGGAGGAGGAGGAGGAGGAGGAGGAGAAGAGAAGAAAAGAAGAAGAAGAAGAAGAAGAAGAAGAAGAAGTAAAAGAAGAAGAAGAAGTATAGTATAGTAGTAGTAGTGGAGGAGGCAGAGAAGAACAAGAAGAACAAGAAGAATAGGAGGAGGAGAAGAAAAGAACAACAAGAAGAAAACAACAAGAAGGAGGAGGAGGAGGAGAAAAAAGAAGAAGAGGAGGAGAAGAAGAGATTTTGTTTCATAATAAAGGAGGAGGAGGAGGAGAAGAAAAGGAGAAAAAGGAAAAAAGAAGACATTTTCTCATAATAAAGGTGACACAGGAGGAGAAGAAAAAAAGAAAGAAAAGAAGAGAAGTAAGATTTGTTCCTAATAAAGGAGGAGGAAGAGGCAGCCTCCTTTCTCTTGCTGAGTGTCTCAGCCTTAACCTGGTCCTCAGGATTCCTCCCACACTTTGGGCCTTTCGCCCCTTTCCCTCCCCCCTCCCCCCCTCCCTCCCTCGCTCTCCTTTCTTTGCTTTTAAGAATTCAGGGAAGACCGAAGAATCACCCTTAACACAAGTCAAACACTCTGTTGCCTTCATCCTTCTCTCACATTTTCTCTTTAGCAGCCACTGCTCTTCCGTAGAGCTTTAAGCGAGCGAGAAAGCCCCGGTGGCAAAATGAAAAGAAATAATCATGGAAATCAGGAATCCTCGTAGGCTTTTATATTCCCGATTTCATTTATGCATTCCTCTCGCATCCCTGTCTTTCTTCCCGGAGAGCTCTGCCAGCTTCTTTCCATCACTTCGCAGGTTTCGGCTCCTTTCCCACCTGCCCCAAAGAGCACGAAGGAGCGTCCAGGACCATATGTTACCCCTCCCCGCAACCCCCGGGGTGCTCCCCAACCACTTCCAACCGTTGTCTGTTAGTCTGGCAGAGAAAAAAGTATCGTCGAAACCACGGAGGATATCATCGTATTAATTACCTTCTGTTGATTTAGTCTGCAAGTTCCATTTGCATTTAAATTCCATAACAAGGCTTTTGTGTGAATTCCCGGTCAGAAAAGAATTGCCCAGAGTCGTTTGGCAAAGTGAGATGTAGGCGGCGTAAAAGTTTAATAGGTAAAATAAGAAGAAAAGTTACATATGATGTCGTCCTGGCTGCCACACACCCCTGTATGGAATTCAGGCTGAGGTTCATCTTCTGTGCCTACTCGGATCACGACTCTTGTGTCGTTATTTTCCATCTTTGCATTCTGGAATCCCTCCATAATTAAGGTTTTGCAGAGAGAGCTTCGGAGAACGCCAGATGAGGCGAGCATGAAATGCAGAAGGAAAGAATGCCCTCGGTCCCATTTGTCCAGAATGGTACAGGGCAGAGGTGGGTTTCAGTAGGTTCCGACCAGTTCTGGAGAACCGGTAGTGAAAATTTTGAGTAGTTTTGGAGAACCGGTAGTAAAAATTCTGACTGGTCCCGCCCTCATCTATTCTCTGCCTCCCAAGTCCCAGCTGATCGGGAGGAAATGAAGATTTTACAGTATCCTTCCCTTGCCACGCCCACCAGGCTATGCCATGCATAGATGATGAGCACTGCCCCCTAGAGTCGGGAACGACTAGCACATATGTGCGAGGGGAACCTTTACCTTTACCTTACTTTACTTTACTCTACTCTATTCTACTCTACTCTGGTTTTTATTCTACTCTACTCCACTCTACTCTACATCTGAAGATGTTTAGTTTTTCTGCCTTTCTTACATCCTTCATCTAGCTTGGCCTTTAGATCCTACTGTAGATCAACTTCCAGATGCTAATTTTCCCTGCCTTCATTCTCTACCTCATCCCGCCATTCCCACCTCCCTACCTCCCAAAAAATAATAATAATACCCCATCTAAGTTCTACTGAAGTAAGATGTGAAATGGGGCAATTTGGCAAACTTAGCTGGGAAGGGAACAGAAGTTGTAGGAACTTCATCACTGGAGGCTTTCAAGAAGAGACTGGACAGCCGTCTGTCAAAAATGGTGTAGGGTCTCCTGCTTGGGTGGGGGGTTGGACTAGATGACCTACAAGGTCCTTTTCCAACTCTGTAAACTATCTGTAAAAAACCCAGCCCTTGATCCATTTATGCTGCCAGACCTGTTGAGATATGGGGTAGCCCTCCCCACCCCCACTTCTCACCCAGCTCTCCAAATCCACTTCTTGCAACGCCATCCTTAGAAGGTGACCTCTCTCTTAAAGGCTGAACCAGGTCTCCCGAAAGGCCAAGTAATTTTTACGTGGGCAGCCTCCCTCGTTCAACTAGAGCCTGGGCTGTAGAAGATTAGCTGACAAACCAATGAAACTTGTGTGAAAAATTGACTCGGCAGCAGCTCCAGATATTCCACACTGGTTCAACTCTCATTCCACTCTTTTAAGGAAAGAGACAATTTGAGGGCGCCTTCAAAAGGAACTCTAGCCCCCAAAGTAGAGTTTTGTCAGAAGGTCCAAGGGGAACATTCAGCTTTTTCCTCTTAGACCGGTGTCAGCTGTGTTCAGATGTTCTCTTTCTCTCTTATTCTCTTTCTCTCATTCTTTCTCTTATTCTCTCTCTCTCTCTCTCTTTCATTCTCATTCTCTCTCTTTTTCTTATTCTCTTTCTCTCATTCTTTCTCTTATTCTCTCTCTCTCCCTTTCGTTCTCATTCTCTCTCTTTCTCTTATTCTCTTTCTCATTGTATTTCTGTCTCTCATTCTTTCTCTCCTTCTCATTCTCTTCCACATTCTATCTCTGTCTCTCATTCTTTTTCTCTGTCTCCCTCATTCTTGTTCTCTCTCTTTCTCAATCTCATTCTCTCTTTCTGTCTCTTATTCCCAATCTTTTTCTCTCTCTTTCTTTCTGTCTCTCATTCCCATTCTTTCTTTTTCTGTCTCATTCTCATTCTCTTTTCTTTATCTCTCATTCTCTTTCTCATTTTCTCTATCTCTCATTCTTTCTCATTCTTGTTCTCTCTCTTTCTCTTTCTCATTCTCTCTTTCTGTCTCTTATTCCCATTCTCTTTTTCTCTCTCATTCTTATTCTCTCTCTCTTTCATTCTCTTTGTCATTCATCTCTCATTCTCTTTCTCTTTGTCATTCTGTCTCTCTCTCTCTTTCTCTCTTTCTCATTCTCTTTCTCTTTTTCTGTCTCTCATTCCCACTTTCTTTTTTTGTCTCATTCTCATTCTCTTTTCTTTATCTCTCATTCTCATTTTTTCTGTCTCTCATTCTCTCTCTCTCTCTTTCTCATTCTTGTTCTCTCTCTGTCTCCCTCCCTCCCGTTCTTGAAATGTCCCTTCCTTCAAATGAACTCAATTTCTCATACGACCGATGTTCCGCTCGACACTCCACAAAACATTTGTTCAAAAATAGATTCATTTGTTTTTCATGTCATTAACTATGTAGTGTAACTGACCAGGAAAAAGCGAATTTAAGATGAGCGCCGCGCATGTCATTTTTCAGAAACCTAGTGGACGTTGGAGGTTGCTAACGATATATGCCAAAACTTGTAGTTAGTCTGGCAACCCATCAAACTCTCATGAAATTAATATTTGATCTCTGAATCAATTTAGATTTTGAGTGGACTTCAGATGTGTTGTTGCACATTTGTTCAGCACAATTAACTGTACTCCAACATGCGTTATAATGCACCGTTATTTTTGTCTGTAAGAGGTTTTTTTTTTTCCTTTTCATATCGCAAGCCATTTTAGCAATAGCTCTTGGCCCGTTGAAAGGTGTCAAAGGAGAATAATCTTTTTCTGTGTTACTTGCGATGAAAACTGCAAAACCATTTATTCCTTTGAAAGTCGCTATTCGGCTTCTGTCAATCAAGAGCTGAACTATGTCTACTGTGAAAACTGAACGAAGAGTCAGGTCTGGAAGTGGTGTGAAGCAATAACACCTTTGGAATGGGTTCATACATCACACAACAGTTCTGTTAACCATGGTTTAATGGATGGGTCATCCTTGGCCTATCCTTTGGCAGCAGCCCCAAAAGCCAATGCAATCCTAAATTGCATTAGCAGAACAATACAATCAAAATCAAAATCATAATACCACTCTATGAAGCCTTAGTAAGACCACATCAGATTCCTGCATTCAGTTTTGGTCACCACACTATAAAAAAGATGTTGAGACTCTAGAAAGAGTGCAGAGAAGAGCAACCAGGATGTTTAGGGGAGTGGAGGCTAAAATTTACGAAGAACGGTTGCAGGAACTGGGCCTGGCTAGTCTAGTGAAGAGAAGGACCAGGGGAGACAGGATAGCCCTCTTCCAATATTTGAGGGGCTGCCACAGAGAGGAGAAGGTCAAGCTATTCTCCAAAGCACCTGAAGGCCAGACAAGGAATAATGGATGGAAACTGACCAAGGAGAGATTCAACCTAGAAATAAGGAGGTATTTTCTAGCAGAACCATCAACCCATGGAACAGAAGTTGCCTTCGGAAGTTGTGGGAGCTTCATCACTGGAGGCTTTCAAGAAGAGACTGGACTGCCATTTGTCAGAAATGGTGTAGGATTTCCTGCTTGGGCGGGGGGTTGGACTAGATGACCTACAAGGTCCCTTCCAACTCTGTTAATCTTAAAACATACTCCTTGGTTTGCAAAGCCCAGTGGCTATTTTCAGACAAAAGATTAAACCGAAACTTACAAACCAAAAACAATAGCGTAGCATTATCGTGTGAACCCATCCTGGAGTTGCAGATGATTATGGTGGTGGATCTGTTTTCTATAACTCGAGGCGATTTACGGGTTTGTAATTTGTGCTCTTTGTTTTCCTCAAAAGCCGAGAAGGGAATCCAGTACTTCAAATTGAAGTGGAGCCAACCTCCGAGGTAAGGTCCGTGCGAGGAGTGGGGTGAAACAGAATTGAGCCTTGGGGTGAAGGTCTCAGTGACCTCCAGCATTGTTTTGTGGGTTGTTTCATTTTGGGGGACCCTGATGGACCACTCTAGCAACTTTTGATCTGTGCTGCATTTAATCGCGGTTAAATGCCACATTTAAAAAGGAATGTGGTGGCTCAGTGGCTAGGACGCTGAGCTTGCCGATTGAAAGGTCGGCAGTTCAGCGGTTCAAATCCCTAGGGTCGCGTAACCAGGTGAGCTCCCGTGACTTGTCCCAGCTCCTGCCAACCTAGCAGTTCGAAAAATGCAAGTAGGAAAATAGGGACCCCCTTTGGTGGGAAGGGAACAGCGTTCCGTGCGCCTTTGGCGTTGAGTCATGCCGGCCACATGACCACGGAGACATCTTCGGACAGCGTTGGCTCTTCGGCTTTGAAACGGAGATGAGCACCGCCCCCTAGAGTCAGGAACGACTAGCACATATGTGTGAGGGGAACCTTTACCTTTAAATGGCACATCTAGCTGTAGTTGACTTGGGCTTGATGGAGCAGTTAGCATAGGACCCATTCTTGCTCACACCGAAATCTCCAGGCCGTGGATCCCTCCTGATTGTTGATGCAGAGAAGGATCTCAAAGGACGAGCACTGTCATGTGGATGATATTGGAATGCATGATCCTATTGCAAAGCTTGTAAATTGCGTCTGAACAGGGCAGTTAGAAATAACATTATTTGACCGCAGGTGTGTTTTTTGCACGAATGTGTAGCTTTTAGGCCACAGGTGGAAGGGAACAATTCAGAAGTAATTCCCCGAGCCCATCAGTCACTAATCCCAACTTCCCTTACTGTTCCTTTATCTTCTCCACACAGCTGACCCTGTTATTTTCCCTGAGTTATATATGGTCTGTCCTTGGGCAAATCGAACCAAAGCTTTTCATTATCTTTCAAGACCATCTTAAAACTGACGGTTTATAGAAAATGCACTTGTTGCTGAAGTCAGTGCTCAAAATGCAGGTGCTTGGTAGAAGGGTTGGAAGTTGGCCAAGTGTTGGTAAGAGAGGAATCCTGGCATTCTACCCGTTGAGATGTCCCTCTAAGCCAGAAGATCATATAGAGAGGAGGATGTGAATTGGCCCTATAGTTTCTTAAACCCCACCTCACCCAGTGCCTATAATTCTGACTCTAATTATAAATGAGGAGCTGTCACTCATTGAGTTGCAGACCCTATGCTGCCCTTAGTCTAATCTCAAAAGCAGCCCACCTGGAATTCAGATCAAGAGTGATCTGGTTCACTGCTAGCAGACTTCCGGACTGAAGGGAAGCGGGTACCAGAACAAGAAAAAGAGAGGATGGAAGAATATAGTGAAAAGGTTATAGCTAGTGGCTCTGCTCATCGTCCTTTGGTCCCACTTGCCAGTTGCTTTATTCCTGCCTACCGTTGATCTGGAGAAGGAAGGGTATCTGTTGGAGATGGCGGTATTAGCCAGAAATCAGGAACCAAGGTTACTCAAAGGAGTACAGGCAGGGATGGGCTTCAAAAATTTTAGCAAGGGGTTCTCTGCCCGGTTGCTGGATAGGCATGGCCATGGTGGGCGTGGCCTAGTTGGCCTCCTGCACCACGACGGGGGGAACGGGGCATTTTTACCTTCCCCAGGCTCCGGAGGCTTTTCTTGAGCCTCTGGGAGAGCGAAAATGCCCTCCCCAGGCTCCAGAGGCCCTCTTCCCGAACTTCCAGTAAGAGGCCTGTTTTTCATCCTCCCCGACGCCCTGCACTTACCTGCATCCAAAATGGGCTGCATGGGGACTCCTGAGAGGGGAGGGGCGGGGTGGGCAGGGCCGGACAGGAGTGGAATTTGGGGGGTTCTCCTAATTGCACAGAATCTTAGCTAGAGGTTCTCCCGAACCCCTGCGAAGCCCCAGCAGCCCAACCCTGAGTACAGGTTTATTTCAACCCTCTCTACAAGAATCTGACCTACTAACAGTCAAGGCGTATTGGCGGTAGATAAGAGTCGTCGGAATTCAAGATGGGCTGGACTTAGATCTCCTGTGGGTGCAAAGGGACTAGAGACCGATGGCGTGTTTGACCCCTCCCTTGGGCTCAGCCTATTCATCTCCTACCGGCGTGTTGCATAAATCAAGCCCTTCTCTTCTCCCTGCCCCAGACCGAACAGGGAAACGATGAGGAGTCCGAGGACGACTTTGAGGAGATGAACCTCTCCCTCCTCTCGGCTCGTAATTTCCCCCGGAAAGCCAGCCAGACCAGCATCTTCCTGCAGGAGTGGGACATTCCTTTCGAGCAGCTGGAGATCGGAGAGCTGATCGGCAAGGGCCGCTTCGGGCAGGTTTTCCACGGCCGCTGGCACGGTGAGATCGCCATCCGCCTCATCGACATCGAGCGGGACAACGAGGACCAGCTGAAGGCCTTCAAGCGGGAAGTCATGGCTTACAGGCAGACGCGGCACGAGAACGTGGTGCTGTTCATGGGGGCCTGCATGAGCCCTCCCCACCTTGCCATCATCACCAGGTAAGGCGCCCGCTTTGATACCACCAAACCTATGAACTTTTCCCCGCGCGCAAACTCTTTAACGAGTCAATTCACCTCCAAATGGGTCTTACTTCCCTGGCTGGCAATCATTCCTCAGAAGCCCTAAACCAGGTCATTGAAGAGGGGTGAATGGACCACGTCCATCTCACCAGTGACACCAATTATGGAGTTGACTCTTATGGAGGAGGAGAGGTTCGACTTTCTTACGACTGGTTAGGGTCTCATGATCTGCTTCACCAGGACATAGCAGTGGTGGAATTCAATTTTGTTTTACTACCAGGTCTGTGGGCTTGGTGGGCGTGGCAGGGGAAGGATACGGCAAAATCCCCATTCCCACCCCACTCTGGGGCCAGCCAGAGGTGATATTTGCCGGTTCTCCTAACTACTCAAAATTTCCGCTACCGGTTCTCCAGAACCTGTCAGAACCTGCTGGATTTCACCCCGGGGACATAGGTCACATTTATGGAAACCTGTGGTTAGCCTTAAACTTGGTTTAGTGTAGGACATGAGTCCAGCTTGTTTTGTAGTTCTTTAGACCAGAGCTTCTCCAAACTTGGCAACTTTTAAGACTTGCAGACTTCAGATCCCAGAATTCCCCAGCCAGCAGGAAGTTGCCATGGTAACATAAGGTACAACACTTAATGATAGTCATAAGGTACAAATAAGCAATCAGGAAACAATATCAATATAAATCGTAAGGATACCAGCAACAAAGTTACAGTCATAACAGTATTAAGTGGGAGGAGATGGGTGATAGGAACGATGAGAAGATTAATAGTAAAGCAGACTTAGTGAATAGTTTGACAGTGTTGAGGAAATTATTCGTTTAGCAGAGTGATGGCGTTCGGGGAAAAAACTGTCTTTGTGTCTAGTTGTTCTGGTGTGCAGTGCTCTATAGCGTCGTTTTGAGGGTAGGAGTTGAAACAGTTTATGTCCAGGATGCGAGGGGTCTGTAGATATTTTCACAAATACATGGCAATTGCGATCAGAAGTTTGACCACGTGACAGTGATGATGGCGCAATGGTCATGTGAAAACAGTCATAAGTCAACTTTTTTTCATTGCCATTGTAACGTCAAACAGTTACCAAATGAGGGGGGAGGGAATTCACAATTGGCAGAATGCACCGGAGTAGGGAGGCAGGTTATAGGTTCCAGCAAGACCTGTGGGCTGAAGGGTTTTTTTTTTTTTAAGGCTTCGCAGAATTGCATCATCTTTTTCTTTTTTAAAAAATAATGGTAGGATTTTCAGACACGCAGGCTGAATTTTTTGTTTTTTTAAGGCTTCGGCAGAATTAGCAGAATTGTGTCATCTGTTTTGTTTTGTTTAAAATAAAGGTAGGATTTTCAGGCTATGGCAAATACATAAACGCTACCCCATTTCCCCCCAAATAAGACATCCCCTGATAATAAGCCCAATCGGGCTTTTGAGCACATGGCAATAAGGCCAAGTGCTTATTTCAGGGTTCAAAAAAAAATATAAAACAGGGTCTTCTTTTCTGGGAAACACTGTAGATAGATAGATAGATAGATAGATAGATAGATAGACAGACAGACAGACAGACAGACAGACAGACAGACAGACTGTTTCTCCCAAAATAAGACATCTCCTGATAATAAGCCTAATCGGGCTTTTTGAGTGCATGGCAATAACGCCAAGTGCTTATTTCAGGGTTCAAAAAAAAAAATATAAGACAGGGTCTTCTTTTCTGGGAAACACTATAGATAGATAGATAGATAGATAGATAGATAGATAGATAGATAGACAGACTGACTGTTTCTCCCAAAATAAGACATCTCCTGATAATAAGCCTAATCGGGCTTTTTGAGCGCCTGGCAATAAGGCCAAGTGCTTATTTCAGGGTTCAAAAAAATATATATATAAGACAGGGTCTTATTTTCGGGGAAACACGGTAGTTGTAAAAGTCTTTGGCAAAACCGAAGACTTCGGTCCCCTCTGAGCTTTGCTCGACGAATGTCCTTCGCATTGAAATGATTTTCAGATGGGAAAACAAGGCCGCTTCCTATTTCACAGACGTTGTAAACACCGCTCGTCTTGCCTACGACGCTTTTCCCAAGGTGATGTGGTAGGAACTCTGGGGTGGGCGGGTGGGAAATTCAGCAGAATGGGTTGCCAGGCTTCGACCTCTAGGGATTCGGAGCATGGATGCGTGACATTCCTCTTAATTAGTTTTCTGCTAGGACAGATGCGAACCCGAGTCTGGCTCAGCACTCCGAAAAACCGGCAGGAAACTGCCAGCAGTTTCTGATCCTGCCTCTCGTCCTGCTCCTTTCCGTGGCAGCTCTTTCACGTGGCAATTTTTTTTTTGATGGTGGTGGGGCCACGTCAGCGGACGAAGTGGCACCCCTTTTTGCTTTGACTTCAGATGGTCCTGGAAACTCAGCATTGTTGGAAAGCTGAAGGAAAGACGGAGAAGAAGAAGAAGGAAGTGGACAAAAGGCATAGGACCTAGATTAGCTGAAAAGGTGTTTCTTTAAACTGTGGGGTCCTTGGTACTCTCTGAGCTTGGTGCTTTTCTTGCAGATGTTTTATTACCCAAGATAGGTAACATCATCAGGGCTAGAAGGGAGTAGGGTTTGTGGAGAGGAGGAGGAGGAGGAAGAGGAGGAGGAGGAGGAGGAGGAGGAGGAGGAGGAGGAGGAGGAGGAGGAGGAGGAGGAGGAGGATTATTGTGGGGTCCTTGGTGCTTTTCTTGCAGACGTTTCATTACCCAACTAACATCATCAGTGTTACCTACTTGGGCAATGAAACTGCAAGAAAAGACTGAGAGAGCCCAGTCACCAAGGACCCTAAGTTTAACCCCGAGCTACAAATATTCTCTTCTGTCAGTGTTTATTAAGTTTGGCAACTTTAAGGACCACGGACTTCAACTCCCAGAATTCCCCAGCCAGCCAGAAATGTTGCTGAACTCATAACTTTATAGGGAAGAAAAAAAAAACAAATTTCTGTCAGGAAACGCTCGGATGATCTGCTGTTTATCAGTTCTGGGGACCAGAAATGGGGCTGGAGATACAACTTGTTTAACCTGGGACTGCGAGCAAGCTTTTAATTTGGAAAAACTTAAAAGGCCTAACTTAGACTATACTGGGCTAAATGGGAATTGTCTCACCTGCAAAAGGAGACTTCCGTGTTTTCCCACCACAAGAGGGGATCCATGTTTTAAAAAGTAACTTCTTCCAAGTCAAAAAACCATGATAGGAGTTAATTTAATTTAATTATTTAATTTAATTTAATTTAATTTAATTTAATTTAATTTAATTTAATTTATTTTATTTTATTTTATTTTATTTTATTTTATTTTATTTTATTTTATTTTATTTTATTTTATTTTATTTTATTATTTAATTTATATGCTGCCCCTCTCCGAAGACTCAGGGCCAATATCTCAGGGGCTGCCACAAAAAAGGGGGAGTCAAGCTATTCTCCAAAGCACCTGAAGGCAGGACAAGAAGCAATAGATGGAAACTCATCAAGGAGAGAAGCAACTTAGAACTAAGGAGAAATTTCCTGACAGTTAGAACGATTAACCAGTGGAACAACTTGCCTCCAGAAGTTGTGGATGCTCCAACACTGGAAGTTTTTAAGAAGATGTTGGATAACCCTTTGTCTGAAGTGGTGTAGGGTTTCCTGCCTAAGCAGGGGGTTGGACTAGAAGACCTCCAAGGTCCCTTCCAACTCTGTTTTATTCTGTTAAAAGGGAACTTCTCCATACTTTCAAATCCTCGCGAGCTCAGAACCCCAAATGTGTAAACAACCTTCCCCCGTCTTGGTAAGTCGCGCTGATTAAACAATCATAAAAGTGAAACATGTTTCAATGTGGAGCTTCTTGATGAAACATGATCAAACATGATCATTTGCTAAACCGGCCCTCTGGCAGTGGTGGGAACGGCTTTAAATCCTGTTTTTTTCAGGCTTTTCGTTGGATTCATGTCATTAATGAGACTTCGCTTTGGAGAAAGAAAATTATTAGGCTCCAGCAGCTGGTCTCGGAAAGAGGGGCTTCATTAAGGAGTTGTTATTCCTGCACATCTTTACTAACTCACACTTAATTATGACTGTGCCAAAGAAATACCGAGAGCAAAAAAAACTGTTTCTTCTAGGAAAGCTTTAAAAAAAAATATTGCTGGAGATGAAAGAGTTCTCTTCGATGTGCTTTCTTCGTGGCCAGGAAAACATGTTTTAATGGCATGGAAATGTCTTTTATTTGATGCCACCCATTCGCTTTACACAGAGAGGACAACTTTTGGGGCAGCTGATCACGGGGAAAGTCCTGAGTCCTTTTGTGAAAGTGTGCGGTGGAAAGTTCCTGGCACGGATGTCGGAATAGTAACCAACTCAGAACTGGCCATTGAAATATTCTGGTATAATGAGAATGGCTTGAGGCCAATGTCCCTATAGCAAACTTTGTTTTCTTTTTTGGAAGAAAAAAAAAAAAGATTTGTCACAAGGATGCAAACTCTAAAGTTTGTGTCAAAGGATGCAAACTTTATAATTTAGCAAAGCTTTAATTGAGGCAACTCTTTCGGCTGTATTATATATAGCAGCGATGGCTAACCTTTTTGCCATCGCATGCCAAAAGCAGTTGGGGCGCGGTGGGGTCGCACACATGGGTGCCCACACCCATAATTATATGCCCCCCTGCGCCATGCCCCCCACACATGCATGCGCGACCCCCCCCTCACGTCCCCCCATTTTTGGCACTTGATGGCCCAGTGGCCCGGTAGGCCCGTTTGAGCATGGGGAGGGCAAAAATGGCCTTCCCCACCCCCCCGGAGTCCCTCCAGAGGCCGGAAATGGCCCATTTGCTGACTTCCAGTGGGACCGGAAGGCCTGTTTTTTGCTCTCCCCAGGCTCCAGAGCCTCCCTAGGATCCTGGGGAGGGCGAAAACCGCCTTCTCCACCGCCCCGGAGGCCCTATGGAGGCTGGAAATGGCCTGTTTGCCGACTTCCGGTCCCACC